CGGCCCGCCCGGCCCCCTCACCCGGCCGCTCTGTGCTGCAGGTCACGGTGCTGGGGACGCCTGCGGAGGAGCAAGGAGGAGGGAAGATAGAGCTGATCAAGGCGGGAGCGTTCGACGGGCTGGACGTGGTTTTCATGGCGCACCCGTCGCAAGAAGACGCGGCTTTCCTGCCCGATGTGGCCGAGCACGAGTGAGTGAGGGGGGGGGGTGGGAAGGGTTGGCTTCGTACCGGCCTTTTCTCCTCTCCCCGGGGCTGTTACCAGCCTTTCCTCCTCTCTTTCCTCTCTGGAAAGAGCTGCGGTTAGGGCCGGGGACCTTGCAGGTGCCCTTGAGGTGTGTGCAGGCAGCTGAGGGGCCGGGTGGCTGTTCCGGACCCTCTGAGCTGTTCTTCCCAAGTTCAGTGTCCAGCCTGGTGTTCAGGGTCCCTGACTGTTCAGAGATAAACCTGCATGAGTCCCTAAAATCCGTTCTTTATTCTGATGTGTCTAGGCATTTCCTTTTGTACATTATTGTGATTCTTGCCTGTTAAAAAAAAAAAAAACCTTCATTCATTTAAAACATCCATTCTTTAAATTTTAGGACATGCATCTGGAGGGAGTCATTGATTGTACTTCCTTGCTTTCCTGGGTACGAGGTCGTGTAGTTCTCTATGCATTTTCATGAGTTTGGGTAGTGTTTCAGGTTTTCTCTGCCAATTTTGAAAGAAGCAGACAGCTGAGCCTGACTGCTGCTGTTTGCATTCTTGTTAACTTCCAGCCTAAATTTAATCATGGCTACGTTGTATCTGTTACCTTTCATGTAAACTTTTTTGTTCAAAGTAGTCCTTGACGTTCCTTCATGTTTATCCCCGAAATAAGTGGAGTCAGCAGCTTTTTCTTTGCTAGATAGCCATATAACTCTTCAGGAATTATGCCTTGTCCTCTTTAGATAGCCCTGCTGTTCAGTGTGAGCACTTGTTTGTACTTGGAATGACTTGACCTGCCCTTGCTGAATGTACGTAACCAGTATGCAGTCCCTGAGGTAGAATTTCCCTAGATCTTACTCAGTGGATGCTGGGACCGTAGTGTCTACTTACCATTTTGGAGACAGCTGTTGTGTTTGGGGCTTCCTCCTCAGTCATTTCTAAGCAATCAACTCGTAGACAAATGCTTGGTCTGTAAGTACATGATTTTTAAAAAATATTTTTGAGTTTAATTCTGTTCTTGCTCTGCAAGTCTGCAGGGCCATGCTGTTCTTCTTTAGTTATTACAAACCTTCTGGTTTGATAGTGTCCCAGAAGTAACCTATCAACAGGCTTTGTTTTTACATTTTATGCCACGGTTCATAATGATTCTTAATTATAAGGTCTTGTAGAGACTCCACTAGTAACCTCCTTCAAGTTGGCAGCTGCTAGTCTGCCTTGCCTAGCTAACCCTCTGCTGTATCCTGTCCTGTTTCTGAAGAGTCTTACCTGGTTTTTGTTACATCCTTCAAGACTTAGCTTGGCTTTTGGCTGCTGTACCTTCTACCTGTATTTAAAATCTTCAAGGTGCCGTTTTCATTGATAGTTCTGTCTTTCTGTTCATTTAAACTGTTGCAATACCTTTTGAGTTTGATACAGATTCAGGACTCCCTTCAAAGATGATGGTTTGCTGTAGCACACAAGTCCTAGGTAGCCTTTAAACCTTGAGTATGGAGGAGGCATGGAACTGAAGAACTGAGGGGAACAGCTTACTGCTTCAAAAAACTTGATGAGCTCAGCTTGTCTCTTTATTTACATAATAATGAAATTCCAAAGCACAAAGACTGTTTTATTTACTTGTAATTGATATTTTGGTTGTTTTTAGGGAGTTGAAGGACTGGCCATCACTACTGTATTGCTAGTCTTACTGTATCTCCAAATGCTGGCATGTGCATGAAGTAAAATTAACAAACTGGGGTAACTGGTGAATACGTGCCAAAATTTTCTGATTCTTATTCACTTATTCTTTACCTAATCAGCCTATTTATTGTTATTCAAACAGAATCTACATTCTTCTGCTAATATTCTTAAACTGGCTTAGAGTTTCGTTACCGGACAAAAATCTGTTAGGTTTCCTCAGAGAGTAGGTGACATTTGTGTAGCAATAGCAGTACAAGAAAGAACACTTTTAAATAAGGAGCACATGTTTCTTTGGAGTAAAAAAAAAAAAGAAGGCTGCAACATGTCTTTCTGCTTTGTGTTGCCTTATTTCCATTTATTTATTTATTTATTGAGAATATCCAGGGATCTGTCCTGCCTTCTTTGTGAGCTGATTTGAAGGGTTCCAGCTAATACTTGGGATGTTAATGGATAAGTTTTTTTAATAAGTTTCTGTGAACTGTACACTTGTCCTGGAGGATAAAAGAGGATGGAAAAGGGCATAGTTAATTTTGATTGCAGGCAGTAGCAGGTGTTTGCTGGTGAAACAGGATGTTCCATTGTGTCCCTCTTTGCTATCTTAAGTATTTAAGTTCTGGTATTACCTTACAGCTATGTCCTGGTTCAGAGCATGAGGGGTCAGGTAAAGATAAGTGCCTAAGCTGGAATCTGAGCCAGACAGTGGGCCAAGCAAGTTAGGCTGGTTCTAGCTGGGTAAGAGACAGCTTGTGTGTCTTGGGGCAGCTCTTTGAGCTTCAGGATGGAGTTTTTTTATGTAAAGGACTGGGTATTGAGTACAATCAGATTTAGTTAAAATCTCTAGTATTGATAAAAATTTGACTTGTGCTATTTAGACATGGCTTGCATGTGATCTTAGTAATGCACTGTTGCTGTTTATATACTGTACATGTTTTATTGAAGTTTGAGAATTAGGACAATCAACTTCTAATTTTCAATCAGGGAAAAGGTCCTGTTATCATCAGAGAAGAGTGTTGGTAACTTTAAGTCTCAGAGCAGGCAGGAGGTATTAAAAAAAGTGTTTGAGACATTTAATTAGTATGTGAAGCCTGTACTTCTCAGGAAAAGGCTGTGTAGTGTTATGTTACTGGTAGCTCTTTTGCCTGATTGGCTCTTGATTTAGTTCCATTTAACTGATTTTTCTAGAAATCTTTCAAAATCATCCCACACTCAAAGATAGTTCAACTTTGCAACAGTGGCAGTGTCAGGTAAATTGTTTGGTGTTCTGCTACACAGAACTTAAATATTTGTGTGAACAAAAAAGCAACCTTTTTATTTTAGAGGTTTTTTTCAGTGAATGAAAGACAAATAAGCAATGCCTTTTATTTCCTAGTGTGACTGTGAAATACTATGGAAAAGCTTCTCATGCTGCTGCTTATCCTTGGGAAGGAGTTAATGCTTTAGATGCTGCTGTTCTTGCATACAACAATCTGTCTGTTTTAAGACAGCAAATGAAACCGACCTGGAGAGTTCATGGTGAGATCTTCATTAAATCTAATGTCCAGCAAGTAAGAGTTTAGCCTGTTGAAATACTAACTTTAGAAACACCCACAATTCAAAATACTGCATTACTGCTCTAAATTATTATAGTAACTTCAAATTTTATAAAATAGCACCATTTCATTTAAATGGTTTGTCTGTAATCTTTCAGATCATGTTAGTTCAGAACTAACTTCTGAAAATAGGCTTATGGCTCAGAATCAAAAGAGGAAACTGGTACCAAGGTAGAGATCAGGCAACTGTTAAGAGTTGCAGTTCAGGAAAAAAAAATCCCACTAAGTTTATTTTGGTACGTGGGCTTGAATTCCTTAAAGTTAACATATGTGCTTTTGTGTAGATATAAGATTAAATGCTTCTGAAAATTGAAGTATTGCTGCATGGTTTTTGTAGTACATATTCCTTCAATTAGATTACTTTTATGGAAAGGTGTAGTGATCAATCTACAGAGAAGGAGGTTTATTTGCTAAAGTACAAAAAAAATGGTGATGGCAGAAACCTTTAGGTCTAGTTAGTAGCCCAATCAACTACATATGCATTGGATTCTAATATTTAATATCTAGAAGACCTTGAAGTAAAAACATCATTTTGCAATAAGACATGTTAACCATTAAGCTTGGCTTGTACTCCTTCAAAGTCATGCTTTTTTTTTCTTTTTGTACAGTGAGAAAGTTTCAGAAGTTGAGATGGAAGCTGCTCTTCAGCTATAAACCCATGTTTTCCTTCTTACACGCAAACAACTTATTCCAAGTTGAAGTTAAAAACTTTGCCATTTCTACTGAACTCAGGAATGTAGAATTGCTTATTTGGAAACTTTGTCATGACCTTAAAACAATTGCAGAATTCTGAGCTAATTAACTGTTACACATCTTGTGCTGTACAGTTTATATGTGTATTTCTCTCCAGGATAGTTGAGTGGAGTCTGGAAGCCCCTTTGATTGTAGATGAAGATGTTTGCAGTTCTGCTGGGTGGCATTCCCAAATGATTTTCAGACAGTGGACACAGCCTTAGCTCTTTCTCCTATTGCTCTGCAGGAAACAAGGCACTTAATTACAAGTTGTGCTGTCAAACTCACTTGTGCAGGTTTAGGGTTGGAGGTGCCTAAGCCTAAAACTCTAAAAACTGCTTTCTTCATAGTTACTACAGGCTATATTGGGCAAAAAAATTAGTATCTAAACAAACCTCTCAGAGGTAACACTTCCTGAACCACAGCAAAACTTAAATGATTGGATTGACACAATTGTTATAAACCTTGTTTTCAAACTGGAAATATCTAAAATACCTTTGGGGAAGTATAAGCAGCCCGAATGGGATTTAATTTTAGGGATGCTTTCTTTGCAACAGTGTGTTGGAGATTTTATGTTGCAGACTTACACTAACAGCCATGGGTGGCTTAAGTGATCCTAAAAATCCTGGTGTTAACCCACTAACAAGAACTGAAATATTTTTCATTACTTGGAAAGCTAGAATTTCTAGGCAATGTTTTATGTACTTGAACAGTGTTGGTTTGGGGTTGTCTAATATTTGTTAAGTTTCTTTCTTCCCTGCTTGTAAGTAGTGTAAGTGTTGCCCCCTTGAAAAATAGTAATGTAGATTTTTTTCTGTTCAACAAATTGTATGAAACAGGCTGAAAAAAAAAGTGCCATCTAGAAGCAGGGCAAGCCAGGTGCTATTGGTAGTGTGCAGGCAGCTACTTCTAACCTCTGCTGTCCAGTCCATATTGGAGATGGTTTGAAATGTCAGCATTGATATTCTCTTAGACTCTATCCAGTTCCATTTGCAGATGTGTTAGAAGACAAATGAAAGCTCATTAATTTGTGTTTTCTCAAACATGTTGTGATGTGTCATGCAAATTTGCATGATTCCTTGCTGATTTGCTGGTTCCTTTTGTGATGTTTTTCCCTCTTCCTGAGCTCTCTTTTGTTATGAACTAGCAATGACAGTGATTTAATTCAACACTGTATTTTTACTGTATTTGAGACTGGTAATGGCTTTAATGAAGGGAGGGGTTTGTAGTGTTAGGTTTTCTGCACCAAAAGTAAATACTTGTTACGTATTTCCTTCCTGATAGTTCTGTCTTTTCAGGCTTCAGTGACACATCAGTAACTTTACGCAGTATTTCCATCTAAGGTAGATGGTGTCTCAAGTTCCATAGAAAACTTAATTCCACATATATAAATTGAGGGTAGGAGGCTAGGGGAAAAAGCAGCCTGTTGAAAGCAATGACCCGTTAATGCATTAAAATCTAATGTAGACTTGAAGTATACAATCCTTTTTTTGTTGAAATATCTAACTGTGGTCTTTATGGCAGTGCCTTTAACATAATTGAAAACTATTGCTACACAACTCTTCCAGGGAACACTTTCAACTCAGACTTAATTTTTTAATAAAACTCTGTTTACCATACACTGTAATATTTCTAAAGAATAATTTCTACATTATTAGTGTGAGGAGTGTGATGAACCTTCTGTGCACTGCAGCAGTATTGCTGAGAAGTGCAACTTAACTTGGTTAAGTTGGCAAAGTAAGTTGGAAATGTTCTACTTGAGGAAACCTTTGAAAGCTGCAATCCAAGGTGGTCTTTATCAAAAAAATACTTTCTCTTTCAGTGGCAGCCAAATTACAGCTCATGCTTTGAATTTCAATAGATTTATTGCAAATCAAGTTTGGCTTGTCTTTAAGTATATAACCAAAGAACACAGTGAAATTGTGCTGAAAAATGTACATATTCCACTTAAACTGACACAATGAAGAAATTTTGTCGACATGTATTTTTTACAATCTTTACGTATTTTTTCTTCAGTGGATGTTTTGTTGTTGTTTGTATTTATATTTAGTTCTCAAGCAAGGGATTTCATAACAAGGTTGAAGATCAGGTGTTTGTATTTACCACTGGTAACATGACTTTTCCTTTCCTGCAGGTGTAATAAAAAATGGTGGCGTGAAACCTAACATCATTCCTTCTTACACTGAACTAGAGTTTTACTTGCGTGCCCCTTCAATGACAGATCTTGCTCTTCTGACAGAGAAGGTTGAGAACTGCTTCAGATCAGCAGCACTGGCCACAGGATGCAAAGTAAGAGTGTGCTCATGGCCATGTATTTCTATTATGTTGGAGATAAGGGAGGCCAGAATGGGAAGTGGAGGCTTACAGCATTTGTCTGCATGGTGTTTAGTTGAAAAAAAATCAAAATGTCAATGATACTATTTGCTATTCTGTTGCTTTGTGTCCAGAAAGAAAGCTTTGTTTTATAAACAGCATGTCACAGAATAATGGAATAATCTAGGCTGGGAGGGACCTGGAGGTATCTAGTCTAAACCTCTGTTCAGAGCAAGACCAATTAGACCAGATTGTTCAGTGCTGTGTGGATTTCAAAGTATCTCTGCTTTATGCAGAGTGAAAGTTAAGATCTGTTTTATTATGTTGTTTTTTACATTTGTGTTCAAACTTCTTGCCTGTGTGAAGTCATTTCATGAATGGGGCTGTAGTTCCTGGAAGTGTTCTAAACAGGATGGAATGTGATGAAAGGCTGAATTGATTTCTGTGTAGTTTAATACTACCTGTAGTGGAAATCATTGGAAGCTGTTACAGGAAATGTCTGCTTTCTGTTTTTGCAGATGCTCTCTGAAATCCATGCTTCTGGAATGTTTCTGTCTAGCAGAAGCTTGACAGAACTGTGCTTTGATCAAGGATAATATTTGGCAGAATATTACATTTTTAAAAAAAACTTAGCACTTGTCTGTTTTGACATGGGCTTTTGAAGTATGGACATTTAACTTTCTAGGCTTTAGGTTGTTGACATTAAAGTGGCTTAGTTTGGTGAAAAATTTCTAATGATGTGGGTTGTTTTTTTTTTCTAGGTGGAAATAAAAGGTGGTGAAAATGATTATTACAACGTGCTTCCAAATAAGAGCCTGCAGAAGGCTTACAAGGAGAATGGAAAGAAGCTTGGAATAGAGTTTATATCAGAAGACTCTATCTTGAATGGTTTGTCAGGTAAGTTAATCTGGGGCTTATTTTGTTAGGACTAAAGCTCTGATTGATCAACTCAAGGTGTGTATAATATTGGGATAGAGGTAGGCTAAACATAGTTTGTTCATAATTAAAAAGCCAAATGAAAAAAACGGAAGCTCTGTCCTGTGTTTCTGTATTTGAAATGTTCCCAACAGGTATGGAAAGCAGTAATCATTTTCTGAAAATATTTCTGAAAATATTTCAAGTAAGAAGCAGTTTTTTGGGCCTTACTGAATTTGCTTTTCACAGCTGCTTCTCTCAATTTTTGCAGTGGGGATTCAGGAGTGATAACAAAGCCCAGTCTCCAGAGACATAGGAGTGGAATTTTGTATGCTGCCCGTTCTTGGGAGGGCTTGAGTATTTTGTCTCATCTTTTTCAAGGCCTCTATTTTTCAGTTTGGCTTTCATAAGGTTTTCAATGTTTTCTTTTAGGATATCAGCTCCTTCTGTTGAAAGGGAAGGAAGATAGCTCAGTTGCTTCTCCATGTCTGTGCAGCAGCAAAGTCATTAAGAGATGGGCATACTGGCTGCTACCTCTGCATAGGCATTACTGTTGGTCTGCTTGCAGGTACTGCCCCGGGCAGCTGAACAGTGTGAAGGGTTCCTGTAGTCTATCACATCACACTGCCCTCTGTGTGCCTTGTGCACACTCTGCTCCTGTTGTCACATTGCCGGGATCATGGGAAGTACTGTCAATTTGAGTTAGCTTTGACCAGATGCCGTGACCTGTTTCTCCTGCTGGTAGCGTAGCTCTGCT